TTTCGCTCACGCAGGAAAAAAAAGCCGGTTAAAAACTGATCTGCTTTCGGAAGATTCGGGCAGTGAAGGGTGAATAGTGCAGCTTATTCTTCTGTTATTAGGACGCTTCGAGATGAATAACCTCTTGACTATTACAGTTTGAAAGAATATTTCAGCTTTTTTTGTTGTGATAGTAGTCCTCTCATGGAATGTACGTTCTCTTCTGGTTCATAGTACACGTGTTGCACGACTTCGCTTCCTCATCAGTGTGAGTGTTACTTTTTCTGTTGGATTGCTTCTCTCACGGTTTGCCATAAAAACTCGCTTTTCTATCTCATTCAAATACCGGATGCATCATGACTGTGGTAATGCAGTAACTGTGGCACAAAAAATAATTTAAAGGCAGTTGGCACTATAAATCCTTAAGACGAGTAGGATTGATACGCCTGGCAGGGCGGAATTCCGCGACCCTGAGCAGGCGCTGCACAGCGATTTTTCCTAGGAAGGTACCCTTATAAGGGTCCTATCAAGCTACAACATACCGACCCGAACGCCCACCACGCCCGCCCGCCCACAAATGGACGACCGTACCTGATGCTCGTATTGCTTCATTTGCTAAGTAAAATATGAAGCGAAGGGATTGGTATGAAGCGGCTGCGGTGCTGAATGGACATACATACATGCAGCCGTACCTACCGTAGCGGTTATTTACAATAAGCTTACGGGAAACTCGTCCAAATTGCTTTTTGAGAACGAAGGCTTTTCTTCGCAGTTTTTGACCGTTTCACTTCGTTTTTTCGCCATTTTCCCCACTAGATAGCGCCCTGCTAGCATTTTAGGCTGAGTACCAAATTATCGTGCCAACTGCCTTTGAACTCAATCGCAGTACTCCTTCAGCACTTGTATAACTTGGGTCATAAGCGCCTACCGCTCCCCTGCCAGGTCCTACTTTACAAAATCCTCCCTACTTTCCCGGTTTTCGGAAAGTTTTTGCTCAAAAACTGGTGGAAACTAATCAGTAACTGATTTTAACTATCAGAGTCAGCAGGTGTTTACTAGTTTTGCAGCGGCGCCAAAGTAGGGGAGGTGAGTAAATGACGCATATATGTAGTATGGGAGAACCAGGAAATAACTTCCCGCGGAAGGCTATAAACGTTTCATGCCAATAGGGTTATACTATAGAATTTCTCTGAATTCGCTTTGAGTATACAACATATCATTAATTCGCATTTTCAAACAGTACTGCAACGAGTCATTTTCAGTACACCCTTCGTCATCTTACCG